TGCACATACATGTACATGTACACTGTGACACTAGCAATGGTAATGACAATGTGGTTGAGATTGAAGTGCCTGCCTTGGTCTGAATGACTCAAGGCAAGCTTCCCTTTTTGCATTTCGTATGCTAAGATGAGCGTGGACCAATCCGGGTATGGCATGCAGGAAACATCGCGTACTCTTGGTATTATCATGATTATGATACATGTACATGACCACATCTGCAACGTACAAGGTAGGTGTCACGGATGGTATGCATGCATTGTAGACCAATTACCATCATGACTCATTCTCTATTCTTACACTAACGTTGCGTACCATCATGCACTACACTCACATACAACTACTGTGTAAGGAATTCGCGTGCGTGTGCGTGTATGTCAATCGTTCGTAACGCTGCCGCTCAAAGGTAAACATGCTAATGTCCAAACTCCACGACTGGCACAAGGCTTACGCTTGCACCACAATACATCATAATGTATGTGACACTCGTGTCGCACTCAGCCCACATGCCGGACTTATAAACGGAATGCCGTCCGTTTCAGCACGTTGAAAACATTGACCGTCTGGCCATGTTGCAAGCGTCATGCAGACAACCAGCAATGCAAGATGCCAAAGAAGTTACACTCGCTGAACGTGTGTGTGTGTGTGTGTGTGTGTGTGTGTGTGTGTGTGTGTGTGTGTGTGTGTGTGGTGTGTGTGCGTGTGTGTGTGTGTGTGTGTGTGTGTGTGTGTGTGTGTGTGTGTGTGTGTGTGTGTGTGTGTGGTGTGTGTGTGTGCGTGTGTGCGCTTGATTGTGTTTCGTGGTATAAAGGCTGATGTCAGTTAGCCTCAGGAATCTCGACAAGGTACTATTACTATAATATTATTATCAGCACCCTAGAACTGTGCCAGTATACTCGTACAATATCGGTAAAAATTTGTCGAAAGACTCTGGTGGAGTCGCTATCGTTCTCTTAATCAGTTTCTTCCCAAAACTTCGTCAGAAGTATTCACAATGATCATGCACAGGCAATGTCGATGTTCGATGATAGCAATAGTAATGCTGGCGACACTGTGCGGTACACATGTAGCAGTTGATGGTATTCTTAGAAAGGAAGTAAAATTTAATGAGAGTGCATCTCCGAACGAAGCAAACGAGAACCATGTTGAGCAGAACGATGCTATCGGGTTTGCTCAGCACGAGCAAGGAGGGGAAGATGAGCAGGAAGTTGAGGACGGCACGTATCTAAACGAGTGGGCTGTACAGGTGCACGGCGATGCAGATCAAGCTAGGAAAGTTGCCAGAGAAACCAGCTTTGAATACGTTTCCACAGTAAGTACAATCATGTTGAACGAATGAGAGGCCATGCCTCATAGTACGTACATGTACATGTACTGAAGTACATGTGTGTAGAAGGAATGCGCGTCCACGCCGGATAGTACGTGCATATACATGTAGACTAGTACATGTATTCCTTTGGCAATGCTTTGCTCTCAGTTATACTTTGCTATACAGTACAGATACATGTATGTCTGGTATGAAAGCAGACAATACCGTGTACATATTGTACAGGATTTGCGCCAAGGAATTGAACAATACCTTTTAGGGAAATCACAGAAGTGGGTATACCCAGGTTTCAACAGTGCTCAACACCACAAGGGGGGAGCGTAACCACAAAGGTCAAAAAGAATGGTTCCACCAATTATATATACATTGTACATACGTTGTAACGCTGCGTTTCATGCACGTAGCTAAATGCTAAGGCAATCATCAGACAACGAGGGAAATCATAATTATAAACATTACTTGACACAGAAGGTCCCTGGTTCGAGTTCTAAAGGACACAGTCGATTATTTCTTCAGACCTTTCCCTTTTCCATTCCCTCCACCAGTAAATGACACAGTGAATGACACAGTGAATGACACAGTAGCATGAACTTTAATGAACTAAAAATTTCAAGTACTATGAACTACTGTGTACTAAGAATAGTAGAAATACCAAAGAACAAATTCCACAATTGCCTCTTAATAGTATGACAAGAGATAGATAGCTAGACGGACGGACGGACAGACAGACAGACAGGGAGAGAGAGAGAGAGAGAGAGAGAGAGAGAGAGAGAGAGAGAGAGAGAGAGAGAGAGAGAGAGAGAGAGAGAGAGAGAGAGAGAGAGAGAGAGAGAGAGAGAGAGAGAGAGAGAGAGAGAGAGAAAGAGAGAGAGAGAGAGAGAGAGAGAGAGAGAGAGAGAAAGAGAGAGAGAGAGAGAGAGAGAGAGAGAGAGAGAGGGAGAGAGAGAGAGAGAGAGAGAGAGAGAGAGGAGAAAGAGAGGTCTAAAGCTGCGATCACTCTTGTTCTTACAAGCAGGGCACTGGACGATGTAAGCCGGAACTTGTGGCTGTTCCCATGGTGCAAGTGTGACAGAGTTCTGGCAAGTGGCCATGAATATTGGAATATCGATAATCTCATTGCTGCATACTCACCCTAGTGGTTCACGTGTACCTGATAGGCATTTGGGCGGTCCATGGCGGATAATGCTCGAAAAGCAGTGAAATTAGCAGAACCATGCAAACCTTATGGCGGGCAATTCCTCGATTTTCTGCTCCATTTCTTTATCCACATACCAAATATGCATGACACTTACCAGAAAAGTACAGAATTCTGCCAATTTTCTGCCGGCATTATCCGCAAAGGCCTAGTACCGGCACTACTTGTATACTTGTGTACATGTACGTGTTCCTGTACATGTGTATTATAGTAGATGCTATTTCGCCAGGAACTCAACACATTCATTCATCTTGGGCACCCTGTCCGAAGACCTTAGGGTCTGTTGGGAATGCCCAAGTAAAAATTAAATAAAATACAATACAACAATACCATGCTAGCTTGAATCCTGGGCATGCGATAGTGACGATTAGGCAGGAAACTGTATGGAGAATTGGAGATGTTTTGTTTCGAAGGTCATGTTTAGTGGAATCATGTATCCCGGTTCTCAAGTACATGTGTATACATGTACAAAGTCATGTACCCTGTACACTGTACATTGTACAGGGTATTATGCATTGCATCAATAACTTGGGAGCAGAGTTTGTAATACCAATAGTTACAGTAGGTATTCAATGGACATTTGAACGTACATGTACATGTACATGTACAACCGACTCCATCACAGCATTGCCATCGTACAGTATACAAGACACTCTGAGATACATGTACATGTAATTATGCATGAGGGTCTGATACACAGAAGTAAAATACAGTCATGTAGTATTGTGACGCTTTCGTTTGTCTTGGACACCAACCCGGTACCCGCACTTCCCGCCTAGCGCCTGGGGTGACGGATGTAGCCCTCTGGCTCACCACTTGCACTCCACCAGTCACCAGGAGGATGTATTCATCTAGCTCAGCACGCCGATGGTCACACTAGTCGACACATTGACGACACGTGACAGGTGCGGCGCCGATCTCTACCTGGTAGGTCTACCTCTCTTCTGTTTTTGGCACGCATCCGCATCCCGAAGGCATTCAGCACGGTCTGCTGTGGTCGTGCGGCTTTCCGAGTATTGGCCACAAAGCATGCAGGTCGCTGCATAGCCGCCGTCTCCGAATGGTCGTGTCAAGCCAACTGCTGTGCAATGTTTCATGTGACGCTGTTGAAGTGCTGTTCGCCAATATTATTCAGCTAAACACCGGAAGAAAACATTCCCGCTCTTTTCCCACCTACTACTAATACATGGCAATCCTTGGAGAGTCAGCTTTCAGACTTGGTCTCCACGCAAGACTGTACATGTGCCGGCGTTGCCAGTTGTCCCCTCATCGAGTATGAATACTAGTACAATGCATGCAGGTAACCATGGTAACCCGAGCATCTACTACATGTACATGTACATGTACATGTACGTCCATTACTCGGCCCATGGGCCATGGCCCAGGGACCCAGGTTGATTCTGAGAGCAGCGCGTCAGACACGACGACAAACAGAAAGCGCAGCACGCAGTGGTTACTGAGCAGTGTGCCGAACTCTTTGCTTCACTTCCGTCATTTGCCACTGCTTAAATTGCTGGATCGCTAGCATCGAAAACATTCCGGTACTTACATCCAGAGCTCACTGACTTGTCAGTTTGAGCACTCTGGCAAGGTACGTTCGGGCCTGATTTAAATCTGGCTTTGGAAAATTTATTTTCATTGCTATCAGGTTCGGCCTCATTTCCTCTGTGCTGCACTGATGAGTTCACAAAGAACGAAACAGCATGCTGTCCGCAGATTGAGTACTTCCATCCATGTACATTGTACGAGTCAGAGGGCACTAGTAGCAGTGACATGAGTTGGTGCAAATAGGATACTAAGTAACAAGCGAGCACCTTCTTATTATTGCTTTCTGCCATGCGTGGTTCTCACCTTCACATTCCTCACCAGTGAAAGTGAAGATTGTTTCACTGATGAACTAACTTCAGTTAAATGTACTTCGAAGTACATGTACTTCACACTGCCCATCAACAAAACTGGTCTGCGACCTGACCACCCGTCCAAGACCCAGGTCTTCAATAACCAACGTGACACTTTTAAAGTTAGATAACTACCGTATTATCTCTATATATATATAAGCACGGTCCTTTATTTTTTCTATGTACCTCCGCCCCGTGCTATTAATGGAGACGTTCCTTTATTGGAGACTGTTCCATTATTATTTCAACCTCATTTCAGAGGCATGTTGCCATGCCACATTCATATCAGACACACACATTTCAGGGTTTTTTTTCGCCGGTACAGATAATGAATTTACACAGTGTGCTTATAATGGAGACTGAGCACTTTATTTTTTGAATGCCGCCCCAAGGTGTTCTATTATTGGAGACGTGCTATTATTGGAGACTGTGCTTACATGTATATTAGAGATAATACGGTAGTTATATGTACTCAATCTGCGGACAGCATGCTGTTTCGTTCTTTTTGAACTCATCACCGCAGCACAGAGGAAATGAGGCCGAACCTGATAGCAATGGAAATAAAAATTTCCAATCAGGCCCGAACGTACCTTGCCAGAGTGCTCAAACTGACAGTTATATGTAGGCATGTACTAGTACAATCATGCTCTTCTTGGAAACTTGACAACTTGAGTGTATTACTTGAGTGTGGTATGCATGGCCTATGTCAGACTATGCGTGGCTCCCGCTGATGTACATGTACATGAACAGTGTACATGTATATGTACCGTGTACGCCCGTCGGCGCCGTCGCAAGACAGGCAGGCAAATCTGGTCAAGCCTTGCGCCAGATATCTATCTAACTGCCCATTCCACATACATGTAACTAGCATGCTAGCAAAGCCATGTCACGAATCGACACCCAACGGACACCCGGACCACACCACATGGAGAACATCGGAATAGAACGGTCAAGGTCTCATGGACAGGTAGTTACCCCAAGCCTCTGACACACTACTAGATACACTGGTACCTTGAAGTGAACCTGGAGTTATTTTAAAAGCCACCTCCCCATTTGCAACTGAGTACTGTGAAAGTAGCTTTCTGACAGGTTGGCAACTAAATGACTGTATGTACGCGGACGTGAAGACTCCATGGCACCTATAGACATAGTAATACCTAACATACAAAAAAGGGTTTGTACAGAGAAGCAGGAGCTCTGGGTTTCACGCATAAAATAAGTATTGGACAATCTGAGTGACTACAGGCTCGATAGAATCATGCTACGATGACCCGACTTGTAAATTGGAGATCCCTTTTCTCCCCTCCCCCCCCCCCCCCCCCTCCCCCATTGCTACTTCCATTTTCGTATTTTTTATTTTTATTTATTGTTATCTTCATTTCCGACTTTTCTTACTGGTTATCATCGAGTTGGCACTTCCCTCAAGTGTGTGGATCACTCTCTCGAGCTGATGCTGTTACTCGTTTCAAGTGTGCCCCTACCACAGATGCACATGTCTGCGTATTATCAGACGTTGTCCTCGTCGCTCTTATCCACATAGAAAATGGCCGTCGTCGAATTTGCAGTGAGAAGGATGTATCCCAGCACTGCAGACTGTACAGAGTAACAGGTATCCGATAGTATGCTAGCTACGTGTACAAATGTATATGTATGCAACGCCCAGAAGGGTACATGTACACAGCTCTGCTGTTTCTACATGTACATTAAAATGTATGCATGTACATTAAATTTTGTACATGTACATTTTACAAAATTTTAAAAATTTTATTAGTGCAATTAGGAGTATAATAGATGCAGACATGGCCAGACAACAACGAGTTCATGGAATTTTTAAGGATTTTTATGTTATTCAAAATCGATTTTCGTGTTCCGCTCATCAGTGAATAGTATCGGAACTGAGGGTACTGTGTACAAAAATAGAACATTTTATAACAGCATAATTAAAAGTGAGAACAAAAAAGGAAGTGCTACAGCATTACATAATAGGTGTCAAACATAGTGCTAACATATTATAACTGAGTGCAGGCACAAAGCATGAGGTGATACAGTGCAACATGACACAACATTTACATCTGATAACCAGCTACGAGAACAACTTAAGCGCGACTACATGCTTCTTTTGTTTACAAAGAACAGGATTATGCACACGAATACATACAGCTTCCAGAACCTTCAACTGCTTAAAAACATAACTTGCACGGCACAAAACAGAAAAGTGAGAATCATCGTACACACTAAGACAATCTGGACGTGATAACAAGTGACAAAATACAGCTGACTTTTTGCTCACGTCGCTCTCTTCCGTCTCATCCCGCTCCTTTCCTTAAAAAATTTGTACATTAAATTTTGTACAGTCATGTAGATCTCATCGAGGCAGCTCAGAGTGACTGACCAAGTTAGCCGATTGCAATGCAGTCCTGTGAGCTACAAAGCATCTCTTACTCGGATCGAGCTCAAGGGACCAACGTCTGAGCGCTCTAACAAATGTGGAAAACACAGCGAACTTTGCACAAAGTCAGTTGCCTTTGACGCCAAGCAGAAAGTGTGGATATTCTACTACAGTAGAGCCTCTAGGCCCTCTACTGTAGCAGAATATCCACACTACATCGTGTGGCATACGATGTATTATGTCTCGTTGGTGTGTATGCGAGGTGATACTCTTTGTTTCCACTCAGGAAAGTTCACAATGATGTGTCGCTCGCGATGGTTTTTGTTAGTCCCGCCCAGTACAGTAGCTAGAAGCTCTGGAGGAGATGCTATCACGAAATGAACTTTATAATAATATTCTCTCCTCGCCGCTAATTATGGCGCTCATCAGCCACTATGGTATAATCAGGCGTGGTGAATTGGTGGTGGCCTGACACAAGCAAAAAACGTCTCTAGTAAGCTGGTTGTGTTTCCCAACACAATCGCCGGCGGTAACGCGGATGTGCAAACTTTACTTTTACTACACTGTACTTGATCATTCAACTTGTTTTATTCAAAGACCCACATTTAAGTGAATAATAGCAAGAAGGTACAAGAGAGGAGCTAGAGAGAAAAGGGAAAACAAGGAGGCGTCCAGGTAGAAAAGGAAAAGTCACTTGAAAGATTAGAACATTGAAAGGATCAGTCACGCAATACGGTTAATTCCCATCTTCGATCGGATAATTATTCATCCCCTGCTGACAGTTGCACTTTGCACCGCGTACCGCTTGGACTCAGCCCCGGCCAACCAGTGAATCACATGCCACTGCCTCTGACAACAGCCTCACTCAGCACAGGCCACTGAGTCTGCACTGACACTGTACTGCGCGGAGTACAGATAACAGGTGTAGTAGTAACGTTGTCGACCTACTCCAATGTCCAATATGACCACATTTCCATTGTTCAGCTCCAAGTTTTACCAGGGTATTATTCCCTGCATCGTTCACAAAGGTACTTACGTGTGATGCCTGTGAACATTGAGCAGCCACTTCTACCGCAAGACGAAATATAATCCACTACGCGTATACGAGCAGTGCACCTGCCCTGCTTATCATTACGTCATTATCATACAGCAGTCTGGTTGTGTTTGTAACACTTCCATTCCTGAACTAGGCATTCAGCTGCACAACATGAATGAAAGGACTGGTAATAATGTTCACCCATTTGGCATCATCATTCATCAGGCATTCAGGGCATAGATGAGGAAGGGGAGGCAAGCATGAACTAAGTAACATAATAATATAAAATACCACAGGCATGTACATTATTCATTAGTTTGAGGGGAAAGATGGTGTAGCTATCATCCCAGCAGAGACTGTTGAACATTTTCCTTCAGACTTCGAAACGCACACTTCCTGCGAATCCACACAGGCGGGTGGGACGCAGTCCTCACTGTAATCCACACACTTCACGTACACAAACTAGCGCGCGGCGGGGAGCCCCAAGCCAAAAAATATTCATTAGGTGAAGGGAAAAGACACAAACGAGAAAAGTCTGAAGAAAAAAATTGACTGTCACCACCAGGATTCGAACCAGGGACCTTCGCTCGAGGCCAGCGATGCTCTAAACACCGTGACTGAGCTATGGTGTAGCTGTCATCAAAGCAGAGATCGTTCAACATTTTCTTCAGACATGTGCACAATTTGCAATTTCAAATTTGGACTTCACACGGAGAATTTCACAATGCCACCTCATTTCTCCTTCTTCCCCACATTGTGACAAGGGCAAGTAAAGGGGCTGCAAGAACACACATGTGCGTGTAGGAGCATGGCTTCCATGACATGTCGCCAGACCACAAATCAGCTGGTTCATATCCTGTCCAAGTACAACATTTCGAAGGAATGAATCTCTCAGTACACACGGACGCGTCGAAGATTTCTCCACTTGTACCTGTACAGTCATGTACAAGTACATACGGCGACATCTTCCTCTGAATAACAAACTTCGTGAAGGGTAAATTTAGGTCCACACATGCTAAATTATGTAGCGATATTTGCACAGGTTGGACTGACCGTCAATAGTAGTCTTTGGGGACGAAGCATTCTACTCCTGCAGAGTACTGCATTCGCTCCACAAGTCTGTGATCGGAGTTGAAGGACAATTTGCTCAGATTGTGCTGAGATATTACACAACGGTTATACATGTACACGTACAGCAACAATAATAATACACAAACGGTGTATTGGGATCAGGGATTCGCTCAAACCGACCAACACCTCCTTGGCTCGAGAGTCGAGTGTTAGTGACTCGAACCTTTACTTGCGAAAGGCTGGGAATCGTAGGCGTTCAATCCAAATCAGTGCGAAGTTACGCTGCCGATTCTAGAACGACCGTTGGCATTGCCAGCAGATCACAGTGAATACTAGTTACGCTATAATGTCCACTAGGACCACCAGTTACTAAACAATCAGCTCATGCGATAACATTGCACGACACTGACCAACGGTATTGACGTTCCCATGCTGACGTTCATGTTATTTCTATAACTTAGAACCTTCCAAGCTGGAAGGCTATTGGAGTGCGCATCCAAGATGTGCTAGATCTGATTACCAGTTAGGTTGTAGTAATGTCAATACTGTTGGTCAGTGTCGTGCAATGTTATCGCATGAGCTGATTGTTTAGTAACTGGTGGTCTTAGTGGACATTACAGCGTAACTTGTAGTTCCTCGGTCCTCATTTCTTCTTATAAAATACTTGGCTCTCCACCCGAGTCTAAGTATTATGTGCAGCAACATTTTAAAAACATTCACAATCGTCATGTACATGTCTTGTAGATCCGGTCAAGCCAGTGCCGAACCACAATAATTGTCAACACGTATGTTCTTTGTTACCGTTTGGAATTTGTTCCCCACAACAGGCGGGATCTGTGGAGAATTTCCACATCTTCCGCCATCCATACCACCACGAAAGGGACATCCATGGTGCTGAGGAGAAGACAAGGATGCTGGAACTCCATGACCAGGTGAGGGTGGTTGAGTTAGTTGGTCGATAATTCCTTTTGTCATGTCTAATTACATTCATGTATGATTCAGGCGAACACAGCAGAAAACGTTCAAGTTTAATCGTACGTTGCAACTCCATGTTTCGTGCCGCATAAGAATCATCAGACAACTGAGAGTTGTCTAATGTCATGAGAGTAATCTGATGATTGCTAATAAGCGGCGTCATGAAACTCTGAGTTACAATGAACTAGTTACTTGAACGTCCTCAGCTTCTGGGGTTTTGTGTTCTAAGCTCTGTTTCGTTTGGAACGTTGACGACTCTCTCTCCAGATCGGGGATCAATGGATTTGATCGATTCAAACGATTGTACCAGTGCCCAGACTTTCCAGAACCTCAGTTCTAGACAATACTTAGTAGTCCAAGGGTGATCTCTGGCTGCCCACCATTCTACAGGTTCTGGTGCGTCTGATTTGCCAGTGGCTTCGTTGTCACGCGTCATGTTGAGCAGATACACTCTCTCTCGCGCACACACACACACACACACGCACACACACACACACACACACCTGGTCCTGGTAAACACTGCCATTGTGGTCACGTGTCCCCTTGCGGGGCCGACAATAATAATTATGCCATGTATATGGAACGACGAGCGACGGCAGTCCGCTGAGCTCATGAGAGATGTACTAGGTGACTAGTCTAGGTCAGGGACTCCGGGACCATGTTCGAGAGAGTCATATCTGGCAGCTATGGATCTGGCTTATCATCGGAAACGATTCCTCTCACGGCTGCCGCTTGAACTGGTCCATCACTCTCCACAACAGAGCGAACATTCCATGAGCCAATGCTCAGAGTCGTTCCAAGTCGTCGTCTTCGTGCGTTAGTTTGCTCCACTCGCGCGCGCACGCACACACGCACGCGCACACACGCACACACACGCGCGCGCGAGCGCGGGCGCACACACAGTCACATACACACGTACACGGAAATACACTGGTGCTGCTCGCCACGACCGGAGAGATCGCATCTTGCTCCAGCTGCTTGGATGTTTCTCTTCCGGTAGTTTCTGTACTGGCACAGATCAGAGACCACAGCACCGGTCTGGTCACCACAGTCAGTCAGGTGCAGTGCACGTTGGACTCTCTGCCAGTGCCACTAGCACTGCTGGTTGCCGTTAGCTTGCACTGATCCAGGAACTAGTCCGATTGGCACACCTGGGCCATTAGCCACATCTGAAAACCGTGCAGCGTAACGTGAGCGAAGCCTCGTGACCGTCATTCGTTTCTGCTCAAGTAGCAGGTAACTTCCCCAGGTTTCAGACACGCATGCGTACCGGTGTATGCACCAGGCTCTGTCTCAACAATTCTAATTTTGTACACACTCTCACTGTGTCAATCTGTTCATCGATCCAAGTCGCGTTTGGATCCCTTGCCCCTACTGCCTGTACTGGCCCTACTGCCCCTCTTCAGCTCTTCTGTTGGCTCCAGTTTCCCACGACCCGTACCCCGTGTGAGCAGAGAGGAAGCTAAACCTACCACTGCACATGCACTAGTAGTATTAAATTTTATTTGTGGTTCGGACACACGTGCCCTACACGTACAGTATTGAGTTTCAGTCCAAGCGATCCCTAAGCATCCTGGATCGATACTCCTGGCTGCCCTGCAGGCCTGCCCCAGTAACGCGGAGCACACGATCTGCCATGTCTCGTCACCGGCCTGCACTACTCGACTGTACACTTACTAGTAGTAGATCCTATTGTCCATGTCCTGCCACTAAAATTTAATAATTATTATTTTAGTACATGTACTACATGTATAAATAATTAATTTTGAAAGTAGTGTCAGTCTGTTTTCGAACTTTTAGTAGCGTCAGTCTATTCCTAGCTCGGACGCGGCCACATGTACGTGGCCCCTGCGAGTATTTCCATCAGCAGATACGACTCGTACTGCACTGATTCTGAATACGGTTATATAAGTCACTGACACACCACCACGGCTTGCACCGACCAAGGTCGAAGCAAAGCGTGCATGCATTGCACGACCCGCTGAACATCTGGCACTGCGTATAAACTGCTTATAATGAGGGGAATTCCCCACTTTTGCGGGTTCCAAAACTCTGTGCTGTAAACCACAATAGATGAACCCAGTGACACACTGGCACTGTGACTGACAGTGGTCAGACGCGCGTCAACGACTTGCTCAAAATGGACGCTGGGCCTACGTGGCAAAATGTTATGGGTTATGCGAATATGCGTGCTGCATGATCGAGAGGAAATCTCCCTAAAAGTCGGACAAGGGGAAAGCTTGCTTTAGCACAGCGCTTGGCCATTGGGCAGGCATGTCTTTTTCGCGAAACAGGGGAACAGCTCAGTTACAGCCCCGCTCAGCACAACCACGTTTACCTTCCAGAAATTGGCGGGAAAATGACTAACTTCCCCCACACAGCGCTTGCCCTGGCTACTACTAGTATGCGCGAGATATGCAACAGGTAGCGTTGCTGCCAGCCGCTGGGGCACGTAGAACTTACGCAATCATGATGTATAAAAGGAGCTGGGCGCGAAATCACTTCCAGAAGGATCAGAAAAGTTACTAATGCTCGCACCGAATCGCTGCCGAGTTCTAAGGAACTCACACCGTGTTTTCTTCTTCTTCTTCGAGCGAAAGTAAGTGTTATAA